GCTGCAAGTGGAGCTGTGGCTCTAGTGATAGAGAGATAGCTTTAAGCAAAAAAGCTTAGGGACAGCTCTCAGATCCAATACTGTCACCAAAACAAACAAAAACAGTAGGAAAATCTTGATTGAGAGTAAATACGTACCTTACAATATTAAGTCAAATATTGGATAGAGTAAGTTTTTCTCAAGAAGAAATAAAACATCATGTTTGTTTTTAAGGATACAAAGGAATTTACTTTTTTTACCTTAATGTAAGACTCTGCAATCTCTTTGCTGCTGCAGATACTATGATGTAGGCTCATTCAGAGTCTTAGGCTTTGACATTGAACCCATGGGGTCCACAGAGCTGAGGTCTTATGAACAAGCCTATACAAAGCTAGAAGATGGGAGATTTGAGGCTTGAGAACATTGCCCTGTTTGCCCAGGAAGGTGAGAATAGAGCTTGACTTGACCCTAACTTCGGATGGGAAATGCCTCAAAAATCTTACTCATAAGAAATCTAACTAGGGCCTTTTTTTAGTGCCTTCACCTCTGGAAACTAGAGTTCAGTTGCTAGAATGTTGTGGGAAATCCCAAGGCAGAAAGTTAAAATAAAACTTTCATTGTCTGCCAGAGGAACCCAGTTTTCAAGGGATTTTCCCCAGGAAAACCAGCCCTACAATGAAAAATTACAAAGCACTCACAGAGAAGCACAAGATGATTGGCAAGCAGTAAACAATGAAGCCTGAGGGCTAAATCAAAAGAAGGGAATGAAACCACACACAGATAATGGCTGCTGGTGGCTCATGCCTGTAACTCTAGCTCCTCAAGAGGCTGAAATCTGAGGACTGAGGTTCAAAGCCAACCCAGGAAGGAATGTTCATGAGACTCTTACGTCCAATTAACAACCAAAAAGCTGGAAGTGTAGCTCAAGTCATAGAATGTCATCCTGTAGTGAAAAAGCTAATTGACAGTACCCAGGCCTGGAGCTCAACCTGCAATACCAGTAAAACAAACAAACAAATAAATAAATACAGCAAAAAAGGGGAAAACTGGCCAGGCACTGGTGGCTCACACCTATAATCCTGGCTACTCGGGAGGCTGAGATCTGAGGATCACGATTCAAAGCCAACCCAGGCAGGAAAGTCCATGAGACTCTTATTTTCAATAAACTAGAAAAATGGAAGTGGCACTGTGGATCAAGTGGTAGAGCACCTCACCTTGAGCTGAAGAGTGCAGGAACAGTGCCCAAGCCCAGAGTTCAAGGCCCATGACCGACCCCCCCCCTCATAAAAAAGGAAAACTGCACAGAAAAAAAAAAGCAATGGTAAACTTGAAAGAACAAAGCAGACCTTCTAGAAAATAAAATCATGGTTATGGTGCGGGACTATAGAGATTTGCAGAGCAGATGACAAACAACTAAAGATAGAAAGGGACTGGATATAAAAAGTAGATGGACAGCTGGGCACTGGTGGCTCATGCCTGTAATCCTAGCCACTCAGGAAGCTGTGATCTGAGGATCGTGGTTCAAAGCCAGCCTGGGCAGGAAAGTCCGTGAGACTCTTATCTCCAATTAACACCAGAAAATCAGAAGTGGTGCTATGGCTCAAGTGATAGAGTGTTTACCTTGAGCTGAAGGGCTCAGGGATAGTGCCTGGCCCAGATTGCAAGCCCCATGACCGACAAAAATAAATAAATAAATAAAATAAAAAGTAGGTGGACAGTGTAAGGAATCAGATCAAGACTATTAGCATCTATCTAAAGGAAGAGTTTACAGAAGAAATAATGGAAAAAGGCATTTTGATAGGTATTTTACTGATCTGATAGAGTGTTCTCAATGTAAAGAAAAGCACTGATTTCTGGGGAGGGTAAAATAAAATAATCCCATCTTTATCAATAGAGGCTTCAGAATTACAATAACAAAGGGAATGTATTGAAAATAGCCTACACTGGGCACCAGAGGCTCATGCCTAAAATCCTAGCTACTTAGGAAGCTGAGATCTGTGGACCCTGATTTGAAGTCAGCTGGGGCAGGAAAGTCTGTGAGACTCCCATCTCCAGTTAATCACAAAAGAAGCTGGAAATGGCACTGTGGCTCAAGTGATAGAGTGCTAGCCTTGAGCAAAAAGGAGCTCAGGTCAGCACCCAAGCCCAGAGTTTGAGCTCCAGGACCAACAAGGAGGGATGGCGGGGAATAGTAACCTACAAAGAAGTTTAAACTACCTGCAAAGGAACAGTCATGGGCAAGATTTTCAACAGAGAAGTCAGGAGACAAGAATTGTCTGGAATTCTATACCCAGCTAAACTATCCTTCAAGATGGAAGTAATAGATAGCTTTAGACCCAGCCTAAGAGTGTTTACAGGCTCAGTCCATTATCCAAGAACAAATGTGAATCAGGATGAGTTCAGCTTAACCTAGGAGAAAGGCGAAAGATGCAGGATGTATTGGTGGTGAATGAATGTATAAAAAGTTGGAAGATTTCAAGATCCCTAGTAGTAAAAGTCAACAATAGGCCAAGGGTTGGTGGCTCAGGAAGTTGAGATCTGAAAATTACAATTCAAAGCCAGCCTGGGCAGAAAAGTTTGTTGAGCTTTTTTTTTTTTTTTTTAATATCTCAAACTACTAAAAAGGCACAAGTGAAACTGTGGCTCAAGTGGTTCAGTACTAACTATCCTTGAGCAAAAAGAAGCTCAGGAAAGCACATAGGCCCCTAGTCTAAGTCCCAGGATCAGGAAAAAGAAAAATCAAGTCAGCAATATCAAGTCATCATTGATGACTTAAAAACAGAGCATAGCTAACAACTAAGAAACAGTCATTGAAAAGCTGGTTTGTGGTGTGTGTGTGTGTGAGAGAGGAGAGAGACAGAGAGACAGAGATGAGAGCTATACATGTCAATGAAAAGTACTTGAGCTAGTTTCTGAAATATGTTTGTTAAGTAAGAGGAGAAATGGAGAAACTACCTTTGGAGGCTGAGAACAGAAAAGTTCACACAATTACTTCTCAATCTATAGCTGGCCTCAATGGATCTGCCTGCCATCTTAAGCTATGTGAGCGGCTGAGACTGGGAGGATTGACTTTCCAAGGTATTTTGGGCAGAAGTGTCCACTAGACTTCATCTCAATGCTAGACATGTTATAACAACTATTTATTTAGAATGTACCTTATTTTGAGTAATACAGAAAAATCCTAGAGATGACTTAAAGTATATAGAAAGATGTCATAGATTAGATACTGGGCCATGTTATATAAATAAGGCTTGAACAGCTGTGGACTTTGGTATCCCAGTGGGTCCTGGCACCCATCCCCCAAGTAATAATAGCAGTGACTTTATTTTAAAGTCATTTTCAGAGGGCACTGTTCCATTCAGTTTTGCTAACACAAATTTTTCCACTCACAATCGAATCTTATTGAACATTAGTTTGCCCTGTGAGGGATGAGGTTTTAGTTTGCATGTTATCTTGAGAGTACCCTGTTGTACTTTATACAGATGTGTGTGTGTGTGTGTGTGTGTGTGCATATACAGTCACATGCACATATTCACCCACATACCCACACGTACACATACATGTCCATGCATACACATGTACTTGTGTACAACACAAGTCTGTATACAATGCATATATCACTCTTCCTCATCTGCCCCCAGACTTTCTTATTCCTCTGACTCCCAGTTGCCATCCCAGAGTTCCTGATGGCTTTGCTGGAGCCTCCATATACTAGCAATGTTTCCAACCCCCTTTGTAGGAACTAACTAGGGGAATTTTAAGGACTTGTCTTCCTTTGAGTAAGGGAGGCCTTTGCTGCCCCTGACATGTGTGGCAGCACCCAGCCCCTGCCCCCTCTCTATCCTATCCTCTTTCTGTTCCTTTGGACGACATTTTTTGCCATACACTTTACTTATTGTGGCTTTCTGCTTAAGTATGATACTGACCCCATATTGACTAGCTTGGATAACATGTAGTATTTGGAAAGGGAAGTACAGTTGAACTTCATTGTTTGCAGGTAGCTTATATGCAAATTCACCTATTCATTAATAAGTATCTACAGTCCTCAAAGCATTATTGATACTGTCACAGTCTTGCAGAGATAACCTAGAATACATATTGCAACTGAGCTTGAACCAGGTGGCCCTCTGCTTGTGGGGTACTGTGGACATATGTCCTTCTCTACTTACTATCCTTGCTTTTGCAGTTTTGTGAGGTTTTGTTGTTATTGTTATTGTTTTGATACTGGTACTGGAGTTTGAAATCAGGGCTCATGCTCTCATTTGTCTTTTTCTCTCAAGTCTGGCACTTGAGCCAGCTACATTTCCAGCTTCTTGCTGGTTAATTAGAGATGGTCTTTCTTGCCTGGGCTGGCTTCAAACTGGGATCTTGAGGTTTCAGTCTCCTGAGTAGCTAGAACTACAGGCATATGCCACCACAGCCTGGCTAGATTTGTGTTGGTGTACTTGTTGCTTACAATAGCCCCAGGTATCCACTATGCATGGGCAGAAGGCTGCAATGGGCCTCCCAGAGAACCTATTTCTCTATTAGAGAAAAGCCACAGTCAGGCTTGTGTTCCAAGGCTAAATTTAAATGTCATAGAATCAACAAAATATATTGAATATGTATAAAATGGAAACTTACATAAAGCAGTTAGGCATTAGCTAGTTGACAAAAATGTTATGACCACAGACTTCAGAGCCTGACCTGTGTTACCCCCAAGAAGGGAGACTCAGTATCTATAGCAGCATTCTAGAATGTGACACACTTAGTGCCTGCATCTAGAATTGATAACATGTGTGGGCAAAATGAGCACCCTCCCCACAGAAGTTCATTCAAGAGTCCAGGGAGTGCTAGGGCCTGCCCCTCCATCCGTCCCTCCATCCCTCTCTTCTTCCCTTCCTCCTATCCTCCCTTCCTCCCTTTCTTCCTTCCTCCCTTCCTCCCTCCCTTCCCCCTTCCCTCTTCCTCCTTTCCTCCCTTCCTTCCTTCCTTTCTTTCTCCCATTAAATTTCTTCATTCTGGACCCTTCTCCTTGGCAGGTTACTTTTTGAATTTTCTGGAGCCTGTAAACAACATCACCATTGTCCAGGGCCAGACAGCAATCCTGCACTGTAAAGTAGCAGGAAATCCACCCCCCAGTGTGCGGTGGCTGAAGAATGATGCCCCAGTTGTGCAGGAACCCAGGCGTATCATTATCCGGAAAACAGAATATGGCTCTCGACTAAGAATCCAAGACCTGGACACAACAGATACTGGCTACTACCAGTGTGTGGCCACCAATGGGGTGAAGACCATTACTGCCACTGGAGTCCTCTATGTGCGGCTGGGTGAGTGGAGACAGTCAAAACATGTTGATAAGCAAAGGAATGTTCACAGTAACTGAGGGAGAGAGAGATTCATTTGCTCTTTGAAACTGAATACACACAGGTCTATAGGAGAGATCTATAACCATTCCCCAAGTCCATACCCACTGTGTACTAGATCACATTTGATCTGTTAACCATGAATTAACTGAGAAAGGAAAATGGGGAAAGTGTCTATAAATTTATAGTGTAGCTGCGCAGGAGGCTGAAATCTGAGGATTGCAATTCAGAGCTAGCCCATGCAGTAAAGTCTGTGAGACTTAACTCCAATTGACTGACAAAAAGCCAGAAGTGAAGCTGTGGCTCATATGGTAGATCACCAGCCTTGAGAGAAAGAGCTAAAGGACAGTGACTTGGCCCCGAGTTTAGGGCCCAGTATCAGCATACACACACATACACACACACAAAAGTAATCTAACACAGGTGGCAAGGTGCAAGTTTTGTGGGAAGGCCCACAGTTCTGAGCTCAGGCCTGGGACTAATCCTGAAAACTCACAGGTGGACTTGTCCAGTCTAAGTTTTGGTTCTGTAAAGCTAATATAACTTCTGCCCAGGTAAGCCTGACCCAGTTGGGCAGGAGGGCAAAGCAGAGGCAAAATTTGGGTTTTTGTTTTATTGTCAGTCCCAGGGCTTGAACTCTGGGCCTGGGTACTGTCCTTGAGCTCTTTGTGAGCCACAGTTCTACATCTGGTTTTCTAATGGTTAATTGGAGGTAAGAGTTTCACAATTCCTGCCCAGGTTGGCTTTGAACCAAAATCCTCAGATCTCAGCCTCCTGAGTAGGTAAGATTACATGCATGAGCCACCAGTGCCCACCCAGAGTTTGGCATTATCATGCTTGTTACACATAGTATATAAGCTGTGGGAGAGTGTCTGGTAATGAATGCCCCCTGGCAACAGCAAAACTTCTGAAAGCATCTCAAAAAATAGCCTCATAAACTCAAGCATACCCTTCTCTGTTCATGGCTTCCAGGGCCTCAGGCTTGTCTTCCTGAGCAGGACAGAGGACAACCAGCAACAGATGACGCTCCGCCCCCACCCATGCTTACCATCCCCCTGATCTGAACATGTGTGCTTTATATATTGCCTTACATATAGTAACTTGTCCTATTGTTTTCTCTCTTTAGGTCCAACTCACAGCCCAAATCATAACTTCCAGTAAGTATCTGCTTTCCATAAGCCATTTTCTCAATGCTTCAAGTTCTGTTATGTCCAAATCCTAGTTTTAATGACTGAAAATTCATTTTTGCTGAGTTTGCTAGAAGTAAGGCTGGGTTTCACTTGAAACAAAGATGACAATTTGCTTGTTTGCTGTTGGGAAACTGATGTATTTCATGGTTAGTGTAAAGAAAAACTGTCATAAAACCAATAATTGGTAGCTGAGTGCTAGTGGCTCACTCATATAATCCTTAATCCTAACTACTCAGGAGGCTGAGATCTAAGGGATATAAGCCAGCTCTGACAGGAAAGTCTGTGTGATTCTTATCTCCAATCAGCTGGCAAAATCCTGTATGGAGGCATGGTTCATGTAGTAGAGTGCCAGCCATAAGTGAAAAGGCTGAACCAGTTGAAGAAAGGAAGGAAGGAATCAAGCAAGCAAGCAAGAAAGAAAGGAAGGAAGGAAGGAAGGAGGAAAGAAAGAAAGGAAGCAGGAAAGAAAGAAAGAAAGAAAGAAAGAAAGAAAGAAAGAAAGAAAGAAAGAAAGAAAGAAAGAAAGAAAGAAAGAAAGGAAGCAGGAAAGAAAGAAAGATAGGAAGCAGGAAAGAAAGAGAGAGAGAGAGGAAAGAAGGAAGGAAGGAAGGAGGAAAGAAAGAAAGAAAGGAAAGAAGCAAGGAAGGAAGAGAAAAACAAGAAGAAATTGGAAAATCCAATGTCTCCTGGGCTGGCTTTGGATCTATAGCCTCAGATCTCAGCCTCCTGAGTAGGATTACAATAGTGAGCTACAGGTGGCTTGTGTGTTTTCTAATTTTTAATATTGTTTATGGCCTTAAGTATCTCTAGGTTAGATGCTGGTTATCTTTTTGATTGTTGTGTGGTTTGACTGTAGTTCCTTTTAATGCTTTTTGCCTTGAACTCAGCCATTTCTTTTCCCCCCAATTTTCTGAACTTTAAAAGGCTGTACAGGGGAGTTATAATTTAACATGTCTAGTTAAGTGTCTAGTGCTTCTTGATCAAAGTCACCCCTTTTGAACTCAATCTTAACTAAATAGCTGCACCTGCTTTCTTTTTATTTGCATTTGCCAGAACTTTCTTTTACTATCATGTTCCCTCATACACACCCCTTCCCTGTCTTAAACTAAACCTTTTTGTGTTCTCTTTTATGTAGGTATCTTGTAAGTAACATTTAACTAGATTTTTTTGGAGATCAGTGAGCGAGGCTTTCCAACCTGAAAGTAATAGATGTTCTTATACATAGCACTCAGCACTCAAACCTACGAGTACTGTGTTTTAATCCTGTACCACCTGCTGAGTGAAAGTTAGTGCTTACCCACAAATACAGACATCTAGAATTGCAGGTGTGCCCTCCATTGTCTACCACGAGTGGCCAGATTGCCCTCCTCCTGAGCTAAGGAACACTAGCAGAACCTAGCTTCTCAATACCCTGGTTTCTGGTGTGAGGTACTATCAGAACTTACCAGTGTCTTGGGTGTAAAGTAGTAATGAGAGTTAATGTTATGTTAGGTCTCACTGGTTAATATAAGTGAGAAGGAGCATTGTCCTGTTTATGCAGTGGCCATTGAATTGCCCTTTAGACAGCCTTTTCTTGTGAGTTTTAGATTTGCAAGTTCATTTGTTTACTGAAGATTATTTAAAACCTCAAAAGTCAGCATTAGGGTTTTTCAGTCACTCATGGACATGCACAAAAAGTTCAACTCACCCGACCCACAGTCCAAGCTGACATCAGGCAAGACAATGCTCTGACTTTGACTCCCATCCTATAAGCAGGTGTTTTCTCTATAATCTATTTAGTGTTACAATTTTCATATTTTAATGCTTTCGTTTGGTGATTTCCATATGTTTGTTATTGTTGTTTCTCACATTCATACTTGGCTTTGTTTCACTCAAGTCTCATGTACTTGAGTCACCCCTGCACTTCTGGCTTGAAAAAAATTATTCTTAAATAGTTGTACAAAAGGGTTACATGTTCACAATTCTATAATTCAGGTTATGAGTATAATACTTCGTGATTAATGTCACCACTTCTGTCCTTCTCCCCCATTTCCCCTTCCTATCAAGTTACACAGCTTAATTTTACACAATGTACATTGAATATAATGACTGCATTTGCTCACCTTTCCTCTCTTCTTTTGGTTTGCCTTTTCTCTCCCTTCCCTTCCCTTCCC